ACAAAGCATACTAAGAGCCACAAAGCACTAGAAATTGTTGGTAAACTAGATTTCCGTTGTCCTGAAGGGATACTGCTCACAAAAGAATTTTGCCTTAATTTAAAAAAATCCTAATTTTAAAATATAAGCTAAATAAGAAATGCAATTTATAATTGTACTTCTATGAAATGTTTCAATTCTACTTAAGTTAATAACGAATTTTATACAATAAAAAAGTGATATCTCCAAGAATTGAATGTTTTTGAATGTGCTGTAGTGTTTATTTAGCTCATAGTATAGAACAAAAAAGAAAATATTAATAACGAACAAAAAATATGTGAGCAAACACGAGTAATTGTGAAAGAATAAATGCAAACAGAAACAAGAGATTGTTAGCAATATCAGAAAGAGAAACCAAACTTAATGCCCGATTAAAATCCCTGATAATAAACTGCTGTTGAAATAGTCGGTCGTACACTTCTGTTTATGTTTGTAAAACTAAAGTCATTAATTTTCGCACAGAACGAAAACGTTGTTTGTTTTAGTATTTTAGATCGGATAAGGTTTCATTTTAATCAAGCAAACATCTAATAAAACGAACAAAACACAACCAGACAGAAAAAATGAAGGAAAGCTGATGAATTGAGATGAACAGGTAAGGCGATTGTTTACAGAAAAGGAAGGTAATAGGCATCAAACATAAAAAAAAATATGTTCCTTCAGGGCTTGGGTGATCATGGCCCTCCACATATTTCTTTTCTTTTATTGTCTATGAATTACAATGCATTCTTTGGAAACATACGGGAGTTGTCTCCCGTTACCTTCCCCACGGATTGCTCAGACTAATAGCCACCAGAGAAAGGCCAGTCTAGTTTCCTATTTAATCTAGAGCAGGCGGGAGATGACAGATTAATGCGTTTCCCAAGGGCATTTGTGTGAAAGTGAACGCATCATTCGAACTCGGCTCACCGATTCCACTTTTTGCGCATATAACCATTACTCTACCCACACAAACATATTTTAGGACGTAGACGATCGAGGCTATCCACAGATTCATTTATTATCTAATTTTGCGATGATTTACTTGGAAAGAGGGTGGAGTAGTTCCTTCTCCTAGACCGGCCTCGAGCTAAGGTAAGAGATCCCAGTTTAGACTTCTAATAGCTGAGGCAGTGTTGAAGAGAAACATTTGAGCAATAGTGAAGACTAAAGGATCGGGCCGACGATTGCGCCTTCTGCACCGATAAGCAATACACGACTCGCAGAAACATTACAAAAAAATAAAAGAGTTAAAAAACAAAGAAAGAAAGAAAGAGAAAGAACGAAAGAGAGGGCAAGAAAGAAAGAAAGAAAGAAAGAAAGAAAGAAAGAAAGAGAAAGAACGAAAGAGAGAGAGAAAGAACGAAAGAGAGAGCAAGAAAGAAAGAAAGAAAGAAAGAAAAAGAAAGGAAAAGAAAGAAAAGAACCTTCATTTTCATGCTTGGGATCTGCTCGGCTCATAATAGAAAATATCTGATTAACTGTCGAAATTAAATTTTGCAGGATTTTTTTTTAAACGAATTATTTGTTTAAAGGAAAACGCAACAAAGCGTCCTTACTTCTACACTGCATTAAGAAAAAAACTCCATAAATTTTAAATCATGTTGTAAATATTCCAATTATAATACAACTGAACCAGCATTCTGATCGAAACGTGCAATATTTGCATCTTCAAATATATATATATATATATATATATATATATATATATATATATATATATATATATATATATATATATTCTTACTGTGCAATTATTGTATCAATCACCTTTTAAGTCTGCAAAATATTGTGTCAGTTTCGGAGTATTCTGCCTTTTCAATAGAAAATTAATCAAAGTAAACGCATACACACAGAGAGAAAGAGAGAGTGAGAGAGAGAGAGAATGAGAAAAATATGAATTCGAAGTTATGTTTGAGAATAACCAAAAGAGATACATGCAATAATTGATAAATAGATTATGTATAAAATAATTGTAATATAGATAATTTTTTTTTATCTAAACTGGCTAGGTGATACAGAAGCAAATTAAAAATTCAACTAGGAAACTCTAAAAAGCAAACAAAAATCCCTTGAAAATCTACTTATGATCGAATGTAAATTATGAAGAATAAATTACATTCGAGACTGGGTGATTGGAAGGAAAAGAATTTGCTGGATTTTTTTAAAATTATTATTTTCATTTATTAACGAAATACTTTTTCCTCGAAGGATGGCAACTCAGATTAAAGGGTGGGAAGGAATTGCACAATTCTTATATATAAAGTACAGTGTATGCGTGTGTATTTGTGCGTGTGTGGGTCCAGGTCCAATTTCAATGATTCATAGCTCATTCAAAAGCCCTAGAAAATTAGGCACGGGGAACGATTTTCGTTGAGCTCAAATTCAGGGTTGCCAGATTATGCGAGGTTAAAAATCTATATTAATATATGATAAAATTTTAAGCTAACTAAAAATTTAAGCTCGCCTAAAAGCAGCCATATCGGGCGGCATTTAAGCTAGTTCCTGTGCTTGACATTTGGTTTGTCCATCATCACAATAACTAGGGAGGAGTAGATGCGATAGGCATCATTAAACTACAGAAGAACTCAAAATTGATCGCTGTATTTAAGTATTGAATTAATGTTTAAGTTTATCTTTTAAAAGTTCAACGATAATTCTTCTGTTGTTACTTTAAAGACGATTTGATGTATGTAAATCCTTATTTTCCGTACAACCAATTATTTTTATTTCATGGGTGACAGAACTGGAGACAATTTATAAGATAAAATTAATGTAGTGTAAAGGTGGGAAAATAGAAATTAGAATTAGTTATAAATTCAACATTTGAAAAGTTAGAGAAACATAATAGTTAATTAAGTAAAGCCTATATTATGGAATCTATATGAAATTACACACTAAATGCTCAATATCTGTATTATATAGTATCTACTTGTAGGCAATATGTTTAACTAATTTGCATAATGATTTTTAAAAAAAGTTTATTTCATTAATTAACTGTCCTTCATTACCGTTCGTTTATTCAAGGATTGTTTTGATTTTCATAGCAAAAATAGTTCTCTTTAGGAATATAGACTTATATAGTGTAGAAAAATGTTTGAGATTTGCATTTTACTTGGTCTTCAACAAGTTGGCATCTATTTGTAAAAATTTCCTTAACTATAACAAGCCAGTTTATGAATGAAATGTTCATTTAAAAATTTTGTTTCAAATATTTCAAGTAGTGAATATATCTTTCTTTGTGAAGCGATAGCGAGCGGGCTAAACCTGCTAGTATTTAATAAAAGGTATGGTTGATATTAGGATGTACCGGGTGTATTTTTCTCTAATAAATAATAATAATAATCCCTCTTCGTCTATTTCAGTGATTCCAAAACTTTTTTTTCTCTGGGCTGCATTTTAAGAATTAAAATTTGCTCACGCTTCACCAAATAAGAAGGACATTTAAAATTAAAACAAAATACTGAGAGAGGGCTAAAAGGAGATAATCGCAGATTCGATGTCAGAATATTATCACTGATAACTCTCTCCTCCAATTTGAGGATTCTAGTTACTATACTCTTAATACTTGATATAATGCCAAAAAAAAAAAAAAAAAAATAGCAATGATAAAACTGGTAAATAATTATTTATGACTATTTATACTGGTCACTATGCTCTAGTATGATAATATTATAGTTATTATGAAAACAGTAGAGGTTACCACTGATGTGTTAAATGTTGAAACTAATTTCTTGTCAAGCTGCAAAAAAGGGGGCATCTTTTCACGCGTCACCGTATAAACTGGATGCGCTCGAATTACAGGTAAATATTTCTTTCTGTCTATAAAAATAACAGCTAAGGTACAGCCAGGTATGGCGGAGTAATAGCGTCTCAGGTTGAAGAATTAGAGTTCAAATTCGAGTTCGAATTCCAGTCAAGTACATTACATTCCCTTACGTGCTATTACCCTTGGAAAAAGTAAGAATCCATCTCTTCACCCAGCTATGGGTTGCATAGCAAGCCAAACTTGGTCCTATAGCCTTGGGTGGTAACCATTATAGGAGAAGGAAACATGGCATTCAAATAATAGCTTTTTAAAACAATAAACATTGACGAAGAGAGGAGGTCGTTAAATACAAGTAGTGAAAAGGGAAGAAGCGTCCATTTAACACTACGTCTTACTGTGGGCAAGAAGCTCCATGTTTGGTGAATGAACATTCCTGTACTAAAATTTAAACATTGGTACAATGGATTCTGAATTAAAATCTTTTGATTGATTAGGTTTCTACGGCTTATCAACCCTTTGCGTTTTATTTAAAGCAAGAAAATATTTTTAGATTATGAGAATTTTTTCCTTCTAATTAACCCATAGCTGGAGGGAGAAGATACGGATTCATAACATTTGCAAGGGTATTTTCTCGTAAGTGAACATAACAAACCCAACTGGAATTGGAACTCGGCTCTCTAATTAAAAATTCCGAGCTATTATCCATTACACCGCTCGCACACCTAAGCTTACTGCACCTGGTAGTTTCAAGCAGTTACCCATCTAGTTACTGACAAAGGTCGACGTTGCTTAACATCTCTGATTGTACAGGAATCGGCGTTTCAACGTGATCTGGTCGTTTAATTTCTGAAAGAGTACTAAATGCAGATGAATGCCTGTAGAATTCTGCCGCAGAAGCAGTAGTTGTATTAGCAAAGTCAGTAATAAAAGACAACAAAAAAGGAAAGGGATAAGACCACAGAAGAAAAAGAAGTGCTTATGTAAAATATATATTTAGTAGGTTATTTAAAGCCAGAATATATATTTTTGGAGATAATAATGATTTACTTATACATGCATAATAATTAACCCATAGCTGGGGGAGAAGAAGTGGAGTCATAACATCCCTAAGGATATTTGCGTGTAAGTGAATATAACAAACCCGACTGAAATTGGAACTCGCCTCTCCCTTTCCAATTTCGATCTGTTATCCATTCCACCACCTGCACATCCAAACACCTGGTATTCCTAAGCGGTCACCCATCTAGGTACTGACCAGGTTCGACGTAACTTACCTTCGTTGATCATAGGGGAACCGGTGTTTCAACGTGATATGACCATAAGCCTTGAACTAAAGTGAATACATTCATTTTAGATATTCAGATATCCGACCAAGACTTGCAAATTCTCCTAACAATTTATAAATCTAATTTTTATCTATCAAAATAAAAATATTTAGACTATTGTCCTCATTTTTGTTGTATGTATCCCAACGTTTCGGCCGTTGTGACTTCCGGGCTCCATTAGATGATTGTTGAGGTGAGTAACTGAATTTTGAAGTGAACCCTTTATTTAATCTATGCGGATAGATTGTTCCCGTTCCACTGACCATGACTAGGGATATCTTGTCTAGTTCTTAGTATTGGTCATTTACTACTCGCATAGTTTTCTACTGCGTCAGGAACTGAACTAAGAAGTAATATGTCCCCAAATGCTTCAATCAACGCTTTAATCAACTAGGCGATTGTCAATAGGACAATATTGGATATAGAATCTGTGTCGCGTTCTGTGTCGTCTCTGAGTCCCCAGACTACTAAATAAAATGGTAACAACGAAAAGGGCCATTTCATTTTCTCATTCGTTTTATTATCAGAGTGGTGGCAGCTTGGATTCTAACAGGCAGTGGGTGGAATGACGTCACCAGAACGCATATCGCACATTGGCTCAGTGTCCCTCTTTTTCTCAATCTGTTCTGTGAGTATCACATTTTCCAAGCCCTCCTTCTTCATTACCTGCCCTAGAAATTTCAACTCCTTCCTGATGTTAACTATAAGTTTTTGTTTCCATTTTCTCCAAAACCTCGTCATGGTGTCCAGTGTATCCTCAGCATCTTTCTGTAGAACCAAATTTCTGTTGCTTCAAGTTTCTTCTACATTTATGAGGAGATTGTACAACATTCACTGCCATACAAGTGGACAGATATCACATAACAGTTCAATACTTTTTTTTTGTTTCTTACGAAATTTTTGTCTCTTAATACTTTGCTTAGCTTTTGGAATACATCTTTGGCCATCTCAATACGTCTTCGGATCTCAGTGTTACACTTTTCGTCCTCCGTTAGAACACTTCCTAGATACTAGAATTTTTGTACTTGTTTGATTTTAATATCCCCGATTTTTAATTTGATTTTTCGGATCATCCTCTTGTTGATAAACATGCATTCTGTCTTCTGGTAATTTATATTTAGTCCTTTCTTCTTGCTTTTCTACGCTACCTTCCGTAGGGTCATATGTAGGTTCATTTACGTGTCTGATATAAACACTGTGTAATCTGTATATCTTATGTTAAGGTTGTGATCGCTAATAATGAATCCTGGTTGGACTTCTAATTTTCTCAGAACTGCCTCTTTTAGAATAGGTTAAATAAAACGGCCATTGTCTTTATAATGAAAATGTCGATCATGACAACATATTTTCTTATTACTTTAAATACAATCATTTCCATTATTTATCGGAAGCTAGTGCAACCCTGATATAAGAAAAACACCTCGTAAAAAAGAGAGAGAGAAAAAAAGAAAACGGTAAAACAAACCCCAATTCTCGCATCACTGATGAGCCACAATCTTAACAACATCAGATATGTAGTATCTGTCTATATTTCTGAGATGAGGTATAATGTACACTATTTATATTGTTCGGACTATTGTCCTCATCTTTGTCGCCATATTTATTACAACGTTTCTGCCGTTGTACGCCCCGGCCTTCTTCAGGTGGTTGGAATATCGAACTGAACCCTTTATTTCGCTCACTGGGCTAGACTGTTCTAGTTCCACGTGCCTTGTTTAATGGATGTCAGTTATCAGTTATCACCTGTAAATTCCCCTCTTCAAGTTCTCCACTGCCTTAATGGGGTATTGAACTAACACTCTTTGGGTCCTGTCAGTGGATCTAACCATAATGTAAATAGTGTATCAGAAATGTAGATGACACAATATTGACAGCAGACACAGAAAGGAAAGTACAAGAATTCCTACAGGAGTTAGTGAAATAAAACGTTGAAGAAATGATTAAATATAAGTTGCAAAAAGATGGTAAGCACGGTTATTAGCAAAAGGAACAGCACAACATGCAAATTACAAACTGGAGTTAACAGAATGAAACAAATACAATATATTTAAATTCCTGGAAAGTGTTTTAACAGAGGGCGGAAAGTGCGATACAGAAATCTAAAGGCGCATTTGGATAGCGAAATGTGTTTAAGAAAGCTACCCCCCCCCAAAAAAAAACTATTTAGAAACAAAGGAATTTCATTGGAAACAAAGAAAACAGTATTGAACTGTTAAATAATATCAGTCCTACTACAAGACAACGAATGCTGGACAATCTCCACAGATCAAGAAGAGAATCGAAGCAACAGAAATGTGATTCTCCAGAAGAATGCTGAGAATAGCATGAACTGAACATGTGAAGAGCATGAACTGAACATGTGAAGAGCATGAACTGAACATGTGAAGAACATGAAATTTTTAGAGAAAATGGAAACAAAAAGGAAACTTATACTGAACATCAAGGATAGACAGTTGAGATTTCTAGGGCACATAATGAGGAAAAGAGCTTAGAAAATGTTATATTTACAGGACAGAATGAAAGTAATATGGAGAAAGGAAATCAATGCATAACCTATCTAGCGATCTTGCCTAAACTGATGGCAAAACAAGGTTTGTGAGAGATAAAAAGACAAAATTTATTACAAAAGACAGAAAACTGTGGAGAGCCATGATCGCCAACATCCTGAATGGACACCACATATAAAAGAAGAAGATAATGTATTCAGAAAAATATTATCGTCTTTGGCGTACTATCCATCTCTTATAACATTTGGTAATCTGTGGAAGTTTTGTTTATTACAGTCGGTGTCCTTTCTTGACAATGATTACCTTTTAATTATATTTAAGTAATTCATCGAGTCTAGAAGAAACCTAAACAGAATGCAGAAAGCACTGGACGGCCGTTTCTCCTATATTTGGAACTCATCATCTGTACGCATCCTCTACCGAGAATTGAAACATGGACCGTTTACATGGCAAACGTCATACCAACTGTACCAACGGGCCTCGGTGACGAAGAGGTAACGAATTAGACTCGATCACATATTCCGTGGTGGAAATCATCGGAGTTTTCCTTGCCCATAGGACTGTGCCCCTACGAGCCACGACTACTATCCCCAAGCCGCTCCAAGTGGAGTATTAGAAGCCGGTTCAAGGAAGGATATAGAACTGATAGAAATTATTAGGAGGATTTGAGATAATCATAATTAAGTAATTGGTCTGGTTTAATGCTTACTTAGCACAAAAATTATTTACCAGTTGCTTTTTATAAGACGTCAGTATAAAATACTGGCGTGCTATAAAAAGGAACTGGTACAATTCAGGATTTCGCAAGTCTTTTACTGATTTTTGTATTTATCACTACTTAATCATAAAAGATATTATTCATATTTGTCATACAAAATGGCAGATGTTTTTAGAATCGTGTAATTTTATGTGGTGAATTATTACTATTTATTTTTGACTAGTCTTTCTTTTCTCTTCTTGCTTTTTTACGCCTAGTAGCAATTGATGCAATAGCCTTAAGTTGCAACAATATATAGGATAAAGCATTGTTAATATTATTAATTTTCAACTTTTATATACTTGTTGTTTGTGTACTTGTAGGATGTATAATATTATCCTAAACAAAAGATGATGCGAAAAAGTGGAAAATTTATTATCGATGCCTTTCGCCAGAGAGCGCATGCTCTCTTTGGCTTCTTCAAGTTAGAATGAAAGAAAGGCAAAACCGTGTGAAAAAAATGCTTTGGGAGGGAACTCTGAAGATAAGTGGGAACCATAAATCAAATTAAATTAGTTTATCACCTCTCAATGTCCACCCTTAAGAGAATGTCGGTTCGCCTGTTTGTTTTATCTATATTAGAACCGTTTGATATTGATGGATTTTAAATCCGGCATTTTTGCATACATATATATACTTGCAGGCACGTATTCATACTTACACACCTACCCAGGCATATACATAAATTAGAACCTTTTGCATACTTGTATATACATGTACACATATACAAGCCTACAAATATACACCTGTGCTTACACCTAAACACATGCATACGAATATACATATCATAGTCTTTTTTATGTATCTAATCTGAGGAGGCCACAGAGAGCATGCGCTCACCAGCGAAAGGCGTCGTTAATAATTTTTTACGTTGTTTTATCATCTTTATATTTCCTGCTTGCTATTTTCCAGTAACAGACGTATGAGTCTTATTTTTGTGACAGCTGTTAATAATTAAATATAACTCAAGGCTTAAATGTTAAAATAAAGCAGTATTTAATTAGAACCGCAAATAAATACTTAACAAGAACAAAAAAGTAAAATTCAACCAAAGATAATTAACCATTTAAGTGAATACCTTGTTAGTAGCGCGGTTCGGTTTAACGTTCGGTAAATCCTAAATCAAAACCCAAATCATCGACACAATAATTCGACTGGATAGTTCCACACAGTCGTCACCCAATAATCACTGCAGTCAGTAGCCTGACATCGTTATTTATACAGCTGTTGGAAACATATATTCATAAGTCCAGAGTGTCACGCTTGAACCTCGGTGTCGGTAGTTACTTATTTTCTTCCTATATGGCACTTATCTTGAGCAGACCTTCTTCATTTATGATCTATAAAGGAAATAATGCTCGTATAAGTGTTTTAATAATCGTGATATAAATAAATCAAGCGGAGGCCTAAAAATATTTGTAGCATTGTAAATTATTAATTTCTGACTAATTTTTATTTCCCCTTTATTTTTTTTATCGCAACGCCCGGGTTGTTTTTAAAGTTTACAACCATTCAGTAATCAACGCAGATTAGAATTTAAATTCTTTGGACTCTAATTCTTTAATTTTGCTCTGTACTGCTTACTGAGCGGTCGTATAATGTGAGAAACGTTCTGACTGTTGGAAGATGGAAAATTCCTCAAAAATTAGTTATGATAGTTTATGTGTATGAAGATGCAATTATAAAACGTGTAAATTGAAGCCAGTCATAAAAAAGCAAGTTGAATATTTGTC